CCGAATCTTCAGTTGATGATACCCTGACCGCAGATCAATTTTGAGAATACTCTGGAACCCTGAAATTGATCAAATAAGTCATCAATGTACGGCAATGAGTACCTCTTCTTCACTATAACCCTGTTCAATAACCGATAATCAATACACATGCGCATAAAGCCATAATTATTCTTCACAAGCAGAACCGGAGCACCCCAATGTGACATACTAGGCCGAATGTAACCCTTATCAAGCAACTCTTGCATTGCTCCTTTAACTTCTTCAACTCCGCCAAGGCTATATGATAAGGTGGAATAGAAATGGATTGAGTGCCCGGCAACAAGTCAATACCAAAATCGATATCTCTATGGGGCAGCATGCCCGAAAGATCTGCCGGAAATACATCTGGGAAGTCTCTCACTACCGGAATTGACTCAACGGTAGGAGTTTCAACATTGACATCTCTCATAAAGGCTGGGTATGTATCACACTCCTTCTCAACCATCCTTTGTGCCTTAAGGAAGGACACAACCTTGTTAGGAATATAATCTCATGTACCCATCCACTATAACCGCGGCAAATATGACATAGCCAGTGTCACAGTTTTGGCGTGACAAATCCAGAATAGCATGATAGGGTGACAACCAATCCATGCCCAAGATAACATCAAAGCCTACCATACTAAACAACAATAGAATAACTTTGGTCTCAAAACCACCAATAACAATTAAACATGATCGATACACACGGTCCACAGTAATAGAATCCCCCATAGGCATGGACACGTATGCAGGAGAACTCAAAGAATTATAAGGTATATCCAAACACAGAGCAAAGTAAGATGACACATATGAATAAGTAGAGCCTGGATCAAATAAGACTAATGCATCTCTATGACAAACCGGGACAATACCTATGATAACAACGTCTAATGCGACCGCCTCCGTCCTACCCAGAAAAGTATAATATCTGGATTGGCCTCCCCCTCTAGGGTGACTCCTATCCGCCTGACCTCCAATCCTAGATAGTTGTGCAGGTGGAGCGCCAACTGGAGCAACAACCACAGCCTGAGAAGTCTATGGACCCGGTGGAATATATAGAGCATGTGTAGTCTGTGAAGGTGCACCCCTCATGAGTCTGGGGCAATCCCTCACCATATGTCGGGTATCACCACACTCAAAGCAAGCTCTCGGTGGGCGTGGCTACTGAAACTGGCTCGGGCCTGGTCGGCTGGACTGACCATTGAAAGCACCCCGTGCAGGAGGTGCACGAGATAGTGGTGGTGCATAATGAGCAACTTGAGACCTAGAAGTAGACGGAGTACCACTAGAAGCTGGAAGTGTTGAATGAACTGTACGGATCACATAGCCTCTACCATGATGGGATGTAGCTGCAGCGTGGCCACCACTAAATCCTCGAGTACCTCGAGGCCTTTTGGCCTTCCCGCCCTCTCTCTCAGGGGGGCGCATACCCTCCAACCTTCGTGCATCTCTACCACCTGCTGATATGGGGTATCTGTCTCCAACTCTTGAGCCATGCTAAATTTAATTCCATAGTTGAGCCCCTCGATAAATTGACGGACTCGCTCTCTAACTGTATAAACCAAGGCAGGTGCATGTATGGATAACTCACTAAATCTGACAGCATACTCTGACACTACCATAGTACCCTGGCGCAGCTGCTCAAACTCCATGCCCCATATATTCTGAAGGCTCTGGGGAACAAACTCTCTCGAGAACATCTCTGAAAACTAAGTCCATGTGAGTGAAGCTGCATCGGTTGGGCTACCCTCCTCGTAAGCCCGCCACCACTGAAGAGATCTCAATAAGTTATGTCTCTACAGGAAAAAAGTGAAACCGAAATAATATTATTGCTGATAATGTTTTTGCTTATAATATTAATGTTGAAATAATGCAACAAGATGAGGATCTTCAACCAAGATCCATCGATGAATGTAGACAAAGAAATGATTGGCCAAAATAGAAAGACGCTATCCGGACATAACTGACTTCACTTGAAAAACGTGAAGTATTCAGATGTATAGTCCGAACACTTGAAGGAGTAAATCAAGGAGGAGATAAATGGGTTTTGTGCAAAAGCAAAATGATAAAGGTAAAATCGTAGATATAAAGCACAACTTATGGTACAATGGTTTTCGCAAATGCCTGACATTGATTACATGGAGACATATTTTCTTGTGGTGGATGCAATTACCTTCAGGTATCTTATAAATAACACTTCATGAAAAACTTGATATACGTCTGATGGATGTTATCAAAGCCTATTTGTATAGCATATTAGACAATGAAATTTATATAAAAATCCCTGAAAGGTTTAAAGTGTCTGAAGCTTATAAAGATTTTCGAAAAACTTATTCAATAAAGCTTCAAAAATTCTTATATGGATTGAAACAATCAAGGCGAATGTGGTATAATCGCTTGAGTAAGTACTTGCTGAAAGAATGGTATAAGAATGATCTAATTTGTCCTTGTGTCTTTATAAAAAGGTCTAAATCTGAATTTGTTATAATTGATGTGTATGTCGATTATCTAAATATCATTGGAATTCATGAGGAGCTTCCAAAATCAGTAGACTATTTGAAAAAATAGTTTGAAATGAAAGATCTTGAAAAAATAAAATTGTCCATCAATCAAACATATACCAAAAAGATCGTAAAGCATTTTTATATGGATAAAGCACATCCACTGAGTACCCCTGTGATTGTGAGATCACTTGATATAAATAAATATCTATTTCAATCTCATGAAAATGATGAAAAGCTTCTTGGTGATGAAACTCCATATCTTAGGGCAATTGGGACACTAATATATCTTGCAAATAATATTCGACCAGGTATAGCTTTTGCAATAAGTTTATTAGCAAGATTTAGTTCATTTCTAGCAACAAGACATTAGAATGGTGTTAAGCATATTTTCAGATATCTCCGATGGACTATTGATATAAGATTATTTTATTCTTATGAGTCTGATTCACATATGATCGGTTATGCAGATGCAACTTATTTGTCTGATCTACATAAAGCCCGATCTCAAACAGTCTATCTATTTACTTGTGGAGGTAAATCTATTTCATAGTGTTCAGCAAAATAAACTTTAGCTGCTACATCTTCCAATCATGTAGAGATAATAACTATTCATGAAGCTAGTTGAGAATGTGTATGGTTGAGATTAGTGAATCAACACATTAAACAACTATGTGGTCTTTCTTCAAAGACGGAGATTCCAACAATATTGTAGAGATTCCAACAATATTGCATGAAGACAATGTTGCTTGCATAACTCAACTAAAAGGAGGATATATCAAATGAGACAGAACAAAACACATTTCATCAAAATTCTTTTTCACGCATCTCTTCAACAGCATGGTGAGATAAAATTCAACAAATCTGTTCAAGTGATAATCTGGTATATTTATTTACTAAGGCATTGCCAATATCAACACTTGCGAAGTTGAGACATAAAATTGGAATGCATCGTCTCTGAGATATCAAATAAAGTTTTCATCAGGGAGAGTATAATACGCGCTATACTCTTTTTTCCTTAACTAAGATTTTATCCCAATTGGGTTTTCCTGGTAAGTTTTTTAACGAGGCAACACTTAATGCGTATTACAAGATGTGTATACAACACAAGGTTTTTCCTAGTAAAGTTTTAACAAGGCACATTATCTTTCAAATGAACATCCAAGGGGGGTATTATAAATAAAGTGAATGTATATGGATATTCATTTAATCCATCCATACATTCTATCCAATGTACTACTTGAATAGATGTACCTATTAATTCTTAAAATGTATCTAGTGAACTTTGGATGTATCTTGTATACTACAAATTGGACATTTTTTCCCATGGAAGAACACACAAGAAATATACTTGAATAAGAAAACATCTACATTCTCCTATTTTATATCTTGTATTCATTACTATATTGTTCTATTTTGACCCCATTTCATAATAATAAACATTTTTTGAGTTATGTCAAAATAACGTAATTCAATGGAATATATCTAAATTATAGAACCTACTATCCCATTTTTGTCGCATAAAGATATTTAACAAGAAAACCAACTTAAAAATGAATTGCTAAAGAGTTTAGAAAATACTTCTCGAAGGTTTGACACATTTTTTGGATGTTTCATATTGAAAAAGAAAAAGAAAGTTCAATTTGCCCCTAAATTTTACGAATTTAGTTATTCCCGGCTAGTATCCAAAAGTATTATATACGTTATTCATTTTTAACGAAGCTCAAATTGACATATTTTATCTATACAGAGTATTTTAAATTGTCACACAAGTGAGACACGTGGAAAAGAGAAAAGAAAAGTAGTTTCAATTTGTCCTTTGAACTTCACAAAAGTAGTCATCCGTGCAATGGGGATAGACCTTTGGTCAATTATTTCTTCTTTAGATATAATAACTATTTATTTTAACTGTGTACAGAGGCAGATTCAGGATTTAAATTTTATGGGTTTAATTTTAAGATTTTTAACATTGAATCAATTATATTTTTAAAGTTATGGGTTCATATCTACTATTTTTGCAATTTTAATGAATTTTTACATACAAATTTTGTCGAAAGTTATAGGTTTAGCTGAACCCGTAGCTAGTACGCTACATCCGCCTCTGACAGTGTATCATATTTTTTAGCCAAATAAAAATAATTTAACCAAAATAAAAGAGTTTCTTTAGTGTATTTCTTTTTATTTATTTTAGATGCAATAGTTATTTTTTTCAATTATATCTTTCTTTTTTTAGGGTCAAATATATAAAATAAAAGAATTGACTGGAACTCATTATTTTTGGCTAGAACTCATTATTTTCGGACACAGTTTAGGGGGGTAATTAAGACAACTTCAGAAGATTCCCGGGGTATTCTGCCAAGAGAAACGAAAATCGAGATCCAAAAGACGAAATATCAAATACTTAATGGACTAGAAAGGTCATTTTACGCTAACGTGCTATGATACGACACCGCATTTCATAATTTTTCCTACTACGAGAAGGCAGAAACCCGGGTTCTTTCCTTTCTATTCTTTCCGTTTCACCAATTCACCAATTCCGCGCCCTTAATTCTGCAAAAAAGGGTTCAATTCCTGTTTTTCCACACGGTAACAATGGAACAAAAACAGTTAGTATTGCGCACAACTACAGAACCACTGATATCAGAGTCAAATTCAATGACTAGTGCAACACTGGGTCGTGTTATGAGCACATTGCTTACTACCAAGCCTAAGAAGCTTCTAGAAACAATTTCTCATCTTGATCCTTCTCCCAAAATTGCACCTATTGGTGGTAACTTCTTACTTGTGTATTCTAAATTGAGTTTCCAGATAAAAAACACTTTTTTCTCTTTTTTTTTCTTAGTTGGGTGTCTTTTTTTTTTATTTTTTCCTTCAGTTTCTTTGGAACAGTCATTATTGTTTCTTTACAAGTATGTGAAGGATGCTGCTGAAAAAGAGTCATCTTTGGATCAAGTTCTTGTTCCTATGATTCAACATGTAAGAACCAGTATTACAACTCTTTTTGTTTGTTTAATTCCTCCGTCTCGATTTATGTGGCATTGATTGACTGGTTGCGGAGTTAAAAAAGTAAGAAAGGTTGATGAAACATGGTCTAAAATAAGTCTCTTGTGGCGGTAAATCAAGGGTAAAATTGGAAATTTTAAATTAAATTATTTCTAAATTTAAAAAAATATCATTTTTTTTGGGATAAGCTAAAAAGTAAAGTGTGCTACGGACAGAGGGATTAGAAGTTTTCAGATATCACTGCTGATTAGTTTACTAAATGGTTTTATGGGGGTTAACTTCAATTTAATCCATGGGGATACATATTAGTTGAGAATATATTTTAGACGATAGCACGTCTTCTATCTTTAGGAGTGGTTTAGCATTTTAGAGATTTATATGTTTAGAAAATATACTGAACTTCTAAATTTTTTTATTTGTATTTGCATAATGTTGGAATGAGATGAGTTTAAACGGAGTAACGTGATCAGTGAGGATTCATATAGCCGACCTCAACTTTTTTGGGAATGAGTGTGTAGTTGTTGTTGTTGTAACTTCAATTTGCTCCATAAAACGAAGGAATTTCTGGGAATTATTCCTATGACACTCTATATGTAAGAAAAGGAAGAACCTTGAAGCTTGTTTCTCCATGTATTTTTTTTTTCCTTTTTCTGTTTCAAGTTTTCAGTTAGCTTTTTCAAGAGTTGAGTATATAAATTCAGACTATGATTTTCTTTATGCATATTCTATAACATTTTGGAAAAAAAAAATCTCTGAGTATTATTTTCAAATAATGATTGTATTTGCATTTAACATTGCTCCTACATTTTCAACCTGGACTCTTGTAAAACTAAAATGAGAAATATTGTGGGATAGGGGAGTAAATTGTACTCCCTCCTTCTCCTTCCCATTCTATATGATTGTTTCTGAATGGAGAGTTTAAGATGTTACTTTGACTTATAATATTTTTTTCATTAATAGTTGAAGCAAAGGTTAAAGTGATAATTGAAAGTTAGTTTGATAAAGGAAATATCATATCGAAGTTTGATAATTTGAAATTTGAATAGCTTCTCTTTTAAATTCTTGAAAGTGGTGAAAGTTGTGTTGGTATGGACTGGCGTCGGACATTTTTGGAATGTTTTGAAAAAGGAAAAGTGTTAAATTTAATATAAATAGGGAAAAGTGGGAGTATTCAATTAGGACATAATTTCAAATTTGTCCATACTCCGCAACAACGAAGTTTTTGCTGTGAATCATAAGTAAGAAGCTCTTTTTTTTTTGCAGAACGTCACCATTTTTTCTCATCATGACTGGTTAAGATGGGTCAGCTGCTTTTAGTAGCACATGTGCATCTGCTTAGCCTCAAGTCATTAACATAGTCCATGAAATGCTTTAGAGCCCGTTTGGACATAAGAGTTTTTTCACTTTTTTTCGAATTTTTTTTATTTTTTTTCAAAATCATTGTTTGGCCATAAAATTTTTAATTTTCACTTGAAGATGATTTTTTTGGAATTTTTGGAAAATTTGAAAAACTCCAAAAAACTGTTTTTCAAAATTTTCACTCAGATCACTCACAACAACAACAACAACATACCCAGTATTATCCCACACTGTGGGGTCTAGGGAGGGTAGTGTGTACGCAAACCTTACCCCTACCTTGTGAGGATAGAGAGGCTGTTTCCAATAGACCCAAAATTATATTATGTCCAAACACAACTCTAATTTCAAATAGTATTTTCACTTGAATTTTATTTTTTACTTTTTTTTTTGGAATTTTACAATTCTTATGTCCAAACACCCACTTAGTTATCCTCATTGCATTCATGTGCCTAAACCTCTCACTAACATTTTTAGTCTCTTGCATGATTTTTTTTTCTATTGAGAGGAATGTTGTTTGCTGTTGGAACCATGGAACTTTTCATATTGTACATGAAAAAGGCCTTTGAGATGGAGGTGGATAAAAAAATTGTGTAGCTTAAGTTCATGACTGATGGCCTATTCTCTTTTCCTCACTTATGTTCTTGCAATCATCATTAACTATTAGCACATGCTCATCTTTTCTGTTTTTGGGCTAAAATTGTCTGTTACATATATACCTGTTTCCCCATGCTGTTTTCTTTTATAATCATTGATAAAAAAATTGTCAGTCACTGAGGTTCCGGGGGTCAAAGCATGGCAACCAAGTGATGATACTTCTCAATTGGCTTTTTGAGGACGAAGTAAATTTCCAGTCTTTAGCAAATGATCTGGAGGCCATTTTATCTCTAAAAGAGGATCATTACATATCCCTTGGGTGGTGTACCCTTGCACGAAGTCTTATTGAATTTGAGGTCACTATGGACAAGCTCGAAACACGTGGTAATTTGACCTTTTCAAGTTATGCTTCTATTTGAACCTAGAAGAGTCTTTCATTGTAAATTGGACTATACATATGCAATCCTGCTTCTTTTGATGATCTGTTATTTCTCTTGACCCTTCCGTAAGAGGAAGTCAAAATTCCAACATCCAAAGGTGTGATCTAGTGGTCAATGAAGTGTGTGTAAACCTTGGAGATCAGTGTTCAAAATCCAGCAAAACAAAAATACTACTCCCTCCGTTTCAATTTAGATGAGGTAGTTTGACTCGGCACGGAGTTTAAGAGAAAAAAGAAAACTTTTGAAACTAGTGGTCTTAAAAACTTAAAAGGGTAAAAGTTTTGTGGGCTCATGACATTTGTGTAGTTATAAAAGCTTCTCATTAAGGGTAAAATGGGTAAAATGAAGAGTTTAAAGTTGAATTATTTCCAATTGTAGAAATGCGTCATTCTTTTTGGAATAGATAATAAGGAAAGTGTGTCATCTAAATTGAAACATAGGGAGTAGTTTATTTCTTCCCATTTGCCTAAGCCTTGGTAGACAGAGTTACCGGGTAACTTTGCTGGTGAGAGGTAGCAGATACCTAATGGAATAGTCGAGAGATGCGCATACGATGGTCTGGGCACCGCTATTACTTAAAAAAAGAGAAAGTAATGCCAATTCCAAATTGATTTAAAAGTTCACTATAGATTATGCTGGTAATAGTTGTACTGTATGCTTTTATTAATCAAATTGCAACACTAGTTTAAGTTTGTTATGCATAGAACTGTTTGTGTTTTTTGATTATTGATCTGGAGGACCCTGTTTGCGCTCAGTGCACTTCAAACGTTTGAGCTGACTGCGTAGCGCCTTTTGATGACATTATTTCACAATGAGTTAAACAACCCTGTAATTTTGAAGGATAAAATTATGTTATGTCGTAGAGTAAATCTCACTTTTTACTTTAATGATTGTTGTTGCCACGAATGTTGAAGCGTCGGTGTTTTCCGTTAGAGGTCCCATTTCTTTGGAGACTTATTCTTAAATGGGGAAAAACACATATGATATATCTAATAAGTCACATTATACGTTATCCCAAGATAGATTTTTTCTTTATCTCTTTATATAATCTAGTGAGTCATATGTGGTTTATTGAAGGGATGTGAAGAGTTTAGTGGCATGTGAGGATGAACTTTTGGGAGCACAAGTGGTGTGAGAAAAATACTTTGAGACATGTATTTTCAAACTTTTACAAGATTCGATTTCATGCCTAAAAAAATGACAGTCCATCGAGTTAGGAGGTTAGTAGATAGAGAATGGAGAAGTTCGTTTGGAATTTGAGATTAGGAAGAATTTTCCCGATTAGAAAGTGGTGAATTCTAAAACCTACTTGAGTTGCTTCACAAATAAGGAACACTTTAGGACAACCACGATGTATGCAGATGGGATTAGGAAATAATAGATTATTTGTTAAGTCTTATTATAAGAAGCTTCTAGTTAGGAAAGAGGTTGCATTTCCACGTTGATCGATCTGGATTCCTATGGTTCCAAGAAAGTTGCGTTTCTTCAGTTGGCTAGCAGCAAAGAGGGTGATTTTGACTGCTGAAAATCTAAGGGAGAGGAAGGTCACATACATCAGTTGGTACTTTATGTGCAAGAGCTCGGGTGAAGACGTTAACCATCTCTCCTTCATTGTCGGGTGGTTTCGAGTTTATGGTAGGAGATCTTGGTTTGGTTTGGAATAATTTAGGTGATGCCAGACATCCTAAATGAGCTAATATTAAGTTGGAATTGCAGTTGGTGGAAGAAAAAATGTAGGGCTTGGAATTTTACTCCACTAGCACTTGGCTGGGTCATTTGGAGAGAGAAATAGGAGAGCTTTTGAAACTGTAGAGATGAATTTCGTTCAATCGAGGAATAGTATATTATCCCTTATTTTCTTCTAGTGCACTTATGAGGTCTACAGAAGATTGCGTGTCTTTTCTAGATTTGATATTTGTTTGTTTTATATTATTTTTGGTATGCCTTTTATATACAGACGTTTATGCTCAAACATTTTAATAAATTTAAAAGGGCAGCCCGGTGCACAAAGCATCTCGCATTGACACATGGTTCAGGGAAGGGACACAACACAAGGGGTATGATGTAGATAGCTCACCCTAATGCAAGCATTATTGGCTTCTTCCATGACTCGAACTCTTGACCTATAGGTTACACGGAGACAATAAGTACTAAGAAAGGTCCCTTGATGGGTGTAGGAGAAGAAATGAATTAGTGTTAAATATATAAATGCCACAAAAGGACATGTATGAAGGAGTTGACACTTGTGTAAGAACAGTAGGAGACACAGAGGAGGTCGGACTGCATTGAGCCCGTATTTGTTTACCCTAGTTATGAATGAGCTAACCGACTTAAATATAAGATGAGCTTTCATGTGTATGCTATTTGTTGATGATATCGTGCTAATTAACAAAACCAAAGAGAGTGTCAACTAAAAGTTTGAACTATGGAGAAAAAAGAGAGAGTAAGGTTGCGCACAAGCTGGCCTAGACACCACGCTTATCCAAAGAAAAAAGTGAGTAAGGATTTTGGGACAAGTAAAAGTAAGATGGAATATATGTGTTGCACATTTAGTCAACATAAGAAGCGAAGTTAAGGTGCCATTAGATATAAATTGTGGTGCCTAGATGCAAACAAAAGTCAGATATTAGGCTCGTTGTTCCAAGAGAATGGAAGGATAGACAATGATGTTACACATCGAATCAAAATCGGATGGTTGAACTGGAGAAGTGCGGTTGGATTTTAATGTGATAGAAATATGTTTACGAAAGTGAAAGGTTAGTTTTATAGAACAATAATAGGATCGACAATGTTATATGTGAGTGAATGTTGGGCTGCTAGAGTTCAACACATCCGCAAGATGAGTGTCACAGAGATGTAAATGCTAAGATGAAGGTGCGGTAATACAAGATTAAACAATATTAAAAATGACCACATTTGTGAGAATAAATTAAGAGAAAGTCGCTTGAGATGATTTGATCATGTCCGGTGTCGATCACCAAGATGCACTGATCCATAGATGTGAAATTATGGTGAATGAAAGTGTTAAATGGAGTCGAAGTAGACCTAAAATAGCAGGGAAGGAAATTGCCTAGGAAAACCTACAATCAGGTAGAATCTATGTTGACAGTTGACTTAGCAAAAGATATGGCACAATGGAAGAAAAAGATTCATATAAGTGATATCAATTAGTTGGGAATATGTTTTAGATTAGGTAGGTGTTAGAACATGTTCTAGTCATGTTAGTACGTTTACTTTAGGTCCTATGTTTTCGAGAAGTCTCTTAGCCGTATAGAGAACTTCTAGTACTTTCATTTTTACTTTTGTTTTGTATGATGTTGGACTGAGAGGAATTTAAATGGAAAAATATGGTCAGTGAGGGTTCATATAGCCAACCTCAACCTTAACTTGTTTGGTACTGAGGCGTAGTAGTAGTAGTAGTAGCTGTTGGCTTGTGAGTGAACCTGTTGCCCACTGTTTACAGTGGACAAAGTCTTAAGTTTGTTTCATGATAACACTTAGTTTTGGGTCACTGAGTTTTCTGTTATTAATACAGGGGTTAGAGCGAGATATGATGCACTTCTGAAGATTTTCTGCACATGTACGTCCCATCTTGTGGCTATTGTACGTGATGGAAGGTGTGTGTTCTTTTTCTTTCTTTCTTTCGTATTGTCTGTCTCTGTCATTTCCCCATTTCCTTTTTATTAGATGATGATCTGTTACTGGCTGCTCAGCATTGCTGATTTTTACCGAAAACTAAATGGGGAAAATTTCACTGCTACTATTGAAAACTGAGTGGGAAGAATCTTACNATATATATTCATAAATTATATAGGGCAGAAGTTCGAGGATTTTCTGGATGACATTCTTCTTGTTTTACTATGAGTTGTTTGACAATGTCATAGTATGAGAATACGTACCTATCCATGAAAACCCAAAAAAGGAAAAAAAGAAAAAAGAAAACAAATGCATGACTAGTCTGTAAGTGGAAATGGAATTGCCTTTGCTCAACTTCATTCAAACTTTTGCTGTTAGCTGTATTCTCACATCCACTCTAGGGAGCTGAGACTGCTCTAACAGAAAATGCTTATTGGCCATTTATTCTAACAAAGACACATGCCTAAGTTTGCTTATTTCAAATTTGTAGCACCGTGCAGGGGGAATTTGAGCTGCCAACTCGCCTTTCAGTGGCTGCTGCAGATCTAATTCTCTCTCTTACGGAGGCATTAACAAGAAGTGATTCAGTGTCCAACTGCTCAGATGACAAGCAAAAGGCAGCTGGTATTGGTGAAAGAAATCGCCCGGTCATGTTGTTACCTTCTACTTCGACTAAGAAGAAAGTGAATAAAATCAGCAAATCCTCTGAATCTACACACATGGAAATGAAGTTGCTGCTTTGGGACCAGTTGGATCACCTCATAGTTCTTGTAGAGAGACTTACAGCTGTATGTTCCATTACTTGTTTTATCTATTCAGACCTTTTCATTGAATGTCATATTTGAATCAGTGTTATCAAAGGCGAAAAGCGCAAAAAAGCTCTAAGGTCTGTTGGGGCTTTAAGCGCAAAGCACAAATAGAGTGTTGGCTTTAATGAAAAAAGACGCAAATGGAGGAAAATAACAAATATGTATGTGTAGTCCAAGACTAATATCTATAAGCATGAATACCAAATATACGGACAAAGAAATTGAAGAAAATTTATGATAAAGTGAAATATCAATTGCTTAGTGTCCCTCTTCAAGATTACACTTATTGGCAAGGAAAAATATGTCTTAGAGCCTTGATGACAACACTGAAGCGTCTGCTAAGCGAGGCGAAACGCTCAACATGTTTTGAGCCTCGCTTCAGGGCTTAAGCGCACTTTAAGCGCCCCTTTGATAACACTGATTTGAATATCCTTTACTATCATTCACTAGTACAACTGCTCTAAGTAAGTAATTCGTGCAGTTAAGACATGCATCCTGAGAGAGAAAACTGGGTTTTCTGTAAATCTCTCTGACGAAACAGCTTCTAGTATACCTATTTTCTTCTGTAAGCCTTACACTTGTTTTCTGACTAGTGATTAGTTTTAATCTCAAATTAATAAGTCTTCTTTCCATGTTTTTGCAAGAACTTGAAAAAATGAGCTTTTGATTTCTTTTTCTACGTCCAACCAGTTCTCGGTAACCTATGAGTCAAAGTATTTGACAATATATTTTGAAATTTTTTGAGTGTAACTTGTGAGAAAGCACGGGAGAAAATATGTTATTGATATTGGATGATGAATACAATACAAGAGGTACTTATTTATAGCTATACACTATAAGGACATATTACTCCTATTCCAATGTGGGACAAGACTATATTATGTACATAGCTCTAAACTGACGCTCCCCCTCAAGCCGGTGCATACAAATCATATGTACCGAGCTTGTTACATATATAACCAATACGAGGACCGGTGAGGGACTTAGTGAAAATATCTGCAAGTTGATTATTCGACCTCACAAACTTTGTAGCAATCTCTCCTGAAAGTATCTTTTCTTTGACGAAGTGACAATCAATCTCAATGTGTTTAGTTTTCTCATGGAACACCAGATTTGATACAATATGAAAGGCAGCTTGGTCCAGACTAGCTCACATGTTGCCATAACCATTGCTCGATATTCTGCTTCTGCACTAGACTAGGGGTGCTTATCGGGCGGATAATTCCGCTTTACGGTTCGGCTTAACGGTTATCGGATTATAAATGTAGTAATCCGCTAGCCATCCAATAAGACAACGGGCGGATTGGTATCGGATTAACAATTATCGGGCGGTTATCGGGCAACTTATCGGCTAAACCGAATAGAAATTTTTTGAACAATCATTCAATCAATACCAAACAGTTTCAAATCAATACCAAATTTTTAATACCATCTAAGATCTAACCAAACGGTATTTCTTAATTGAAGAGTCTTCAAGACTACTCATACTGTCATACAAGTATTAACCAAATTTTTAATACCATCAAGACTACTCATGCATACATACACGTATTAATCATTGAGATTTCGATTTTTCGACTTCTCAGTTTTCAGTTCAAGAGAGAGACGAGACTGACGACTTCTCTGCCTCTGGTGGTTGCAGACAATTGAGAATTATAAAATAGAAATTAGGGATTTAGCCATTTAGGGTTTCAATAGTACTTTATATACATAGAGGTAAAAGTGTAAATATAAAAATTCTTAACGGGTTAACGGTTTACCCGATAAGAAAATTGAGTAATCCGCCCCCAAACCGTTAAGCCGTTAATTATAAAATCTCAATCCGTTCACCATCCATTACCCCGATAATCCGATACCAATAAGCCAATAAGCTATCGGTTCGGTTAACGGTTTCGGTTCGGTTTTGAACAACCCTACACTGGACCGAGCAACTACATTCTGTTTCTTGCTCTTCCAAGATACCAAATTGCCTCCTACTAAAACACAATATCCAGACGTAGAACGTATATCAGAAGGTGATCCTGTCCAATCAGCATCTGAGTATCCAACGATCTGCTCATGACCTCAATCCTCAAACAGTAACCCTTTGCCTGAAGCCGATTTTATATACCGAATAATGCGGACAACTGCATCCCAATGACTATCACAGGGAGAATTCATAAACTGACTTACAACACTCACAGGATAAGAAATGTCGGGTCTAGTCACTGTGAGATAATTTAATTTACCAACCAGTCGCCTATAGCTTGCAGGATCGCTAAGCTGCTCCCCCTGTCCTGGCAGAATTTTAGAATTCGGATCCATCGGAGTGTCAACAGGTCTGCAACCTATCATCCCTGTTTCCTCAAGAATATCTAAAGCATATTTTCTTTGAGAAATAACAATACCTGAGCTAGACTGAGCAATCTCAATACCTAGAAAGTACTTCAATCTGCCTAGATCCTTAGTTTGGAAGTGCTGGAAGAGATGCTGCTTCAGATTGGTAATACCATCCTGATCATTGCCAGTAATAACAATATCATCAACATAGACTACCAGATAAATACAGAGACTTGAAGCAGAGTGCCGATAAAACACAGAGTGATCAGCTTCACTACGAGTCATGCCAAACTCCTGGATAACCATGCTGAACTTACCAAACCAGGCTCGAGGAGACTGCTTTAGACCATAAAGTGACCGACGCGAGCGACATACAAAGCCACGAGACTTCCCAGAGCAACAAAACCAGGTGATTGCTCCATATAAACCTCATCCTCAAGATCACCGTGAAGAAAGGCATTCTTAATGTCTAGCTGATAGAGAGGCCAATGACGAACCGCAACCATGGATAGAAAAAGGCGGACTGATGCCACTTTAGCCTTTGGCAACAAGACGGGCCTTAAGTCGATCAATCTGGCCATCGGGACCAACTTTGATTGCATAAACCCAACGACAACCAACAATAGATTTACCCGAAGGAAGAGGAACAAGCTCCCAAGTACCACTTGTATGTAAAGCAGACATCTCGTCACTCATAGCTTGTCGCCATCCTGGATGAGACAACGCTTCACCTGTAGACTTAGGGATGGAAACCGAGGACAAAGAAGATATAAAAGCATAGTGGGGAGATGACAAACGATGGTAACTCAAACCGACATAATGAGAATTAGGGTTAAGTGTGGTCCGTATATCTTTCCGAAGTGCAATCGGTGTACTAGGAGCAGGGTCCGCAGTAGGAGCAGGGTCAGGTGCAGGACGAGAACCAGTTGGGCCTGATGTAGGGCGCATACGACGATGATAAGTCAAGAGTGGTGTTCCTATGGCTGGGGAACTAGGAGTAACAACACTAGACTCCTCAACGGTTGGTATGGGTGAAACATCTGTGGTCGAAGGTGGAGGATGAGCTATAGTAAACTTCTCAAAGGTCGGTATAGGTAAGACCTCAGATATATCATGGTGGTCAGCAGAGGTAAAGAAAGGTTTAGACTAAAAAAATGTGACGTCAGCTGACATAAGGTACCTACGAAGATCAGGTGAATAACAACGATATCCCTTCTGAACACGAGAATAACCAAGGAAGACACACTTGAGAGCACGAGGAGCTAACTTATCTTTCCCCGTGACTAAGTTATGAACAAAACACGTGCTCCCAAAAACACGAGGTGGAAGAGAGTATAAGGCTGATTGGGGAAACAATACTGAATGCGGAATCTAATCCTTGATGGGAGATGAAGGCATCCGATTAATCAAATAACAAGCTGTGAGAACTGCATCGCCCCAAAAACGCAACAGAACACGAGATTCAATTAGAAGTGTGCGGGCAGTCTCAATAAGGTGCCTATTCTTTCCCTCTGTAACCCTATTTTGCTGAGGGGTATAAGGACAAGATGTCTGATGAATAATTCCTTGAGAAGTCATAAACTGCTGAAACTAAGAAGATAAATATTCTAAGGCATTATCACTACGAAAAATGCGAATAGAAATACCAAATTGGTTTTTGATTTCAGCACAAAAACTCTGTAATATAGAGAATAACTCTGAACGATCTTTCATTAAGAAAAGCCAAGTACATCTTGAGTAATCATCAATAAAACTAACAAAATAACGAAATCCCAAGGTTGAACTGACTCTACTAGGACTCCATATATCAGAATGAACTAAGGAGAAAACAGACTCTGCATGACTCTCAACACTATGCGAAAAGGAGGCTCGGGTATGTTTCCCAAGCTGACACGACTCACAATCTAATGTAGACAAACTAGATTAACTAGGCACCATCTTTTGAAGTTTGGATAAACTCGGATGTCCTAAACGTCTGTGGATTAGGTCTGGAGGATCTGTAACTAGACATGTTGTGGAAGGATTGAGTGAGTTAAGGTAGTAAAGGCCTTCTGATTCACGTCCTGTACCAATTATCCGTCCCGTATTGCGGTCCTGCATAATGAAGGAATCATCAGTAATATATATACCACAATGGATGGCACAAGTCAAACGACTAACAAATGCAAGACTAAAAGGACAACCAGAGACATAAAGAACGGAATTTAGGGTGATAGAAGACAAGGGGTTAGCTTGTCCAACTACTTTTGCCTTAGTTTGACATCCATTGACTAAAGTAATAGTGGGAAGAGACTGTGAATATACAATATTCGACAAAAGTGATTTATTACCAGAGATGTGATTAGAAGCGTCTGAGTCCATGACCCATGGTCCAAGAGTACTAGACTTGGAAACACAAGCAAAAGAATTACCAGCAACAGAAGTATCAGTCTGGGCAACCGAGGCTACTTGTGGAGATGTTTGCTTACTTGTTCGATACTGAAGGAGCTCGTTATATTCCTGGTTACTTGTAGTCTCGGTCTGAGCAACATAAGCATTTTTGGGTGGACGACGATGTAAGGAATAACACATTTCACGAGTATGTCCAAGTTTGTGACAATAAGAACACTTGGGTCTAGATCTTCCAAAACGACCTCCTCCCCGTCTATTCTCCATAATTTGAGACGCCCGAACATCCACTGTCTGGGGATGCGAGAACAGAAGAATCAAGTATCTGTGATGAGATCACTGGGTGACTTGGTGCTGCAGCAAGGCGGAGTAATCGAGAGAATAATTCATCAACTGTGGGGACAGTCGGACTAGCCAAAATCTGGTCGTGTACTGAATTAAGATCATTAGGAAGTCCAGCGAGGGTAAGAACTAGAAACATCTTCTGTCGCTGCTCTTGTTGTTTTTCCACACTAGCTGAAACTGGCATCAATTTCTCAAATTTCTCTGCCAGTACTTGACCCAAGTAAGTAGACATATCTAGTTCCTGCTTCTTTAAGTTTGTCATCCGCGATATCACATCATAGAAGCGAGATATGTCATTAGTGTATAAGGTACGAGCCTTTGCCCAAACCAAATAACATGTTTGGAATGGACGAAACAAGGGCATCAACTTGGAATCAATAGATCGCCACAGGAGGCTACATAACTGAGCATCGATCTTTGCCCAAAGTGCTATCGCCTTTTCATCTCATTCGCTAGACTGTTTGATTAGATGATCTTGAACACCTTGACCTTTACACCACAACTCGACAGATAAAGCCCAAGCTAAGTAGTTTGAACTTCCCATTAAAGGTTCTGAGGTAATCATAACACTAGAGCTTCCAGAACTCATGTTTTTAGACCCAAAAACATCAAATCCCAAAGACATCGTTGCAAATTATTACCAAATAAGAGAAAGAATCAATTGTAATCCACTGAAATAGAGTAAGGAAACACTGAAACAGAAAAATGAATTACTGTAGCTGCCGGAATCTACTGTAGCTGACGGAAAAAACTCAAAGTGGTCGGAATGAAACAAAATAGTAGGGGTAGGATCAAAATTACCAGACGACCCAACTGTTATGAAGGGACTTTTTTAAAAAATGGCCGGAAGTGGGTGTACGCGCCGGCGCGTGAGCTCATCCGCGCCAGCTTCTGGTGGCGCGTGGGCGCGCGTGAGGAGGCTTCTGCCGGAGATGTTTACCGGGGTTTGGTCGCCGGACAATGACTACTGTTGTGGTAGTGTTGGATTTTGCACAACACTGACGGAGATAAAGCAGACGCAAACAACCTTGAAAAAGTTGCCGGAAAAAGACTTCCGGTGACTGATTTCTCTTCCCGGAGTCGCTGGAATTTATGCATAGCGATAAATCTCACAATTGCTCTGATACCGTTTGAGAAAGCACGGGAGAAAATATGTTATTGATATTGGATGATGAATACAGTACAAGAGGTCCTTATTTATAGCTATACACTACAAGGACATATTACTCCTATTCCAATGTGGGACAAGACTATATTATGTACATAGTTCTAAACTAACCTAACTAATTGATGCCAGTTTCTTTATGTGCTCGGTAGTGCTAAGTTTTGCGTTTAAAAAGTTTCTCCAATTGATGCCAATATTTGTTGGTACTCGGTAGTGCTAAATTGTGCGTTTAAAAATTTTCTTTTTGTTAGACTAAAATAGTTGGTCAGATAAAAAGTTTTATGTGCAAAGGTTTGCTTAAATCTGATAACTATGTATAGAACAAAATGATTATAGGGATCTTGACAGATAAAATATTTACTTTGAAAAGGTTCCCATAAATGTTGCTGATAGAGCATTTTCTATAAAACCTTGTGGGGAAGTGGGAACTCTTAAAGTCCACTTGTCAAATGCTTCAGTGTTTCACATATAGTCTTTGACATGCAGTGGAGCAAAAAAAGCAGGCCTTTGCATGCAAAGGCATTGGAGAGAGTTCACAGGTGGTTGCTGGGGACGCAGGAAAAATATATTCACATACAAACCAAGGCAGGTGTTACAATTTTCAGCTTTTCAGTGTATGGATCAACCTTGATAGCCCTTATGTTTTGTTCACCGTGTGTCCTCTATCATTACTTTAGACAGATTCACAAATGCTGAAGAGTGGAGTATTACTGCTCTCTTCTTGTTGGAAACATTATGGCATGTTGTTGCACTTGGAAGATCCCAAATTCGCACAGAAATATACAGAATTATTGGAGCAGTACTTATCTGGGATTCAGGTTTGCTATACTATTACCACATCAAGTCCTTTCACATTCTGTTCCTTCCTCTTACATTTGGTCTCTTCGGAATGGGAAACATTAATATATTTCAGTGGATTGACACTTCATTGTTTTTCTTTTAAATCGCTTTCTTTATTTTTCCTGAGATGGATTTTAAGTAATTCTAGTGGGTGCCAATTAAAAAAAAGTAATTCTAGTGATTGAAATTATGGGCTATTCACTTGGTTGAGTGGATTTATCTAGAAGACTTGGATTGTTGAGATTTAATTTACAGATATCCTGTCTTAAATTGGTTTCCTGCTGGATAAAAAGCTTCCGGTTTGTAAAATAATGTGCTAAGAATACAATTTCAATCTGCATTATCAGAAATATTTTGGACATTTAGGACTTCATTATTTGGTTAAAACCCAACAAACTGGCAAACCGACTCAGTAAGTACTTCTATTGTTTCGTTGGTTCAGGTATCTAAAAGTACCCGAATTTATATTTATTATTCACTTATGGCTTCTCCAAACTCTCAATTGATTCAACCAAAATAAGAGACTTGTCAAACATTTTAGCAGAATTGGTCCAAGTAGTGAAGTAGGTCTTTGGTCATTAGTAGTTAAACACATTTATGGACCAGGTTTTAACGTGGTCACACCACTGCAGAGTCATTTGTTTACTCTTTCTAGTAACTTATTTTCATCCTTCTCAAACTTCTATCATAACTCATAAGTGTATGCCCTAATCTACGCTCATTCTCCTCATTCTCCGAGAAAGATAAAACTGTATTTCAAAGCCCATATAATTAAGAGTTTCAGTTTGGAAGTGAATGAGTTCGAATGGTTTGTGTTGGGAGAACTTGAAATTTCAGTTTGCCTACTGAATAGCCAGTTGGTAGCTGAATTACTGTTTGAATACCCATAGGTAAGTTCTCTTGGAACTTATTTAACAGGTGCATGTTTTTCTCTGATGATCATCTTCGACAAAACAAGGACTCTCGAACTAACAAAAAGAAGATAAACTTGACATAAGAATTAGTTTCAATTGTCCTGACTCTTGATTTCGTTGCTCTTTCTGTATATATCAGAGTATGTGAACACAATTATGCTTATGTACTTCTTCTCTATTTAGTCCAGATTTAAAGAAGAAAACTTGCAGTTTTATGCAGATAACTATGCTGAAGAGTCTCCTAAAAACAAAGAAAGTGGAAGAGAGACCATCAAGTTTTTCCTGAATTGCCTTGCCCTTCTATTAGGCCGTCTACATGGAATGCAGTTTGAAACTACCATTGAGGAACATGGATCTCAGCTATCTCAAGCTATCATATCCCAGGTAGAATTACATGACTACTGAAGAAGTTTGCTGCATTTTGGTTACAATAAGATTAGGATCTCTCTAGAAGAGTCTTGAGTAATTGCTTTGGTAAAGTAACTTTCTTCAATAAGATGATGATTTATGCAGTCTAGATTGATGCATCAAGTTTGCTTGACTAAGCACCAGAGAGCTAGCATATTTCTTGTCTTTAGTACTTGAATTAAAACATTCTTGGTTGTTTGATTACTGCGAGTATTTTTTACTCTTTTGGTTGAGTTGCTGCAGCTTTTTGCCAATGATTAATGTTTTACATTTGTTCTTTTTGGGATATTTGAAGCTCAATTGTGCAGATGATGAAGTAATTGACAGTGCCCTCTGCATCTTCAAAGCTGTCATCTTTAGGACGAACAGTAGTTTGTCTAAATGTGCTGCAGACATTAGTCAGATTAATGCTCTACTGCCAATGTTATTACACCTCTTGGACGAGCGAGACAGTGCAGCGAAAGCTGTTATCAAGCTTTTTGCTGAATATTGCTCCATGTATGATTGAATTACTGCAATATACACTGGTTTTAATCTTTTCAAATGCATTTTTGGGATTAAATATAAATGGCAATCATTATTTTTGCCAGATCCTCAGATACACAGTGCTTGGAAGAAATTCTAAAGCGCCTTATTTCTGGGAATGTTTCACAGAAAAGCAATGCTGTTGACTTCATTTCAGATCTTATCCATGTATCTATGGAGTCAGATACCGTGCTTCCTCCTACTATGTGGTATGCTGTTGCTTTCTATTATTGGCTTTTAGTTATTAACACTGCTTCACCTTTTAGCACTATATACAATGTTGAAGGAATATAATTGCAATGTTTGTTTGAGAAAGAAATATAATTACAATAAAGGCGCCTGAGAATCCTGTCTGAACTGCTAGTCAAAGTATTGGCACAACAAAAGGAGATCCAACAATCAGTCAACTAGGGAGGTGAATTTTAGAAGTATCCGTAGAGAGATTTCTCAACCTGTTGAGAGCATGCTAAAGTACTTAGATTGACTCATGATACAGGACCATTTTTTTTATAACCGTGGTGTCCGGGCCAGCTTGCGCGCACCTCGACTAATTTCGCGGGACACCTGCTATCTCCGACCAGCAATAGGTACCAGGTAACTCTGTCCACTTGGACAGATGGGAAGAAATCACCTATTATTTTTGCCATCGCTGGGATTTGAACCCGAGACCTCATGTTTCTCAACCCACTTCATTGAACACTAGGTGATGGGAAGAAATCACGTAGTGTTTTTACTATACAAGATCATTGTATTTAGATTTTTTTGTGTAAAAGAGTTATATATTGAAGTGACATACAATACCCAACTTTCTTACCTTATTAGAAAGTTCACAGAACTTGAGCATTTAACGAACCCTTCAAGTCAATTTGGGTGGAGTAACTCAGCACCATTATAGACTCCTTTTGAGGCGTTTATCCTGATGTGGGATAATATGTAGCTAACACATTTCTGCATGTCCATTGCCTGATTCTAGGTTCATACATGGACCTTATGCAGACTTGCGAGTTAAGACCGTACTTACAAAATGTTGGCTCTAATTCCATGTGAATAATCTAAGCATTCAACTAAAAAGAAAAATCTTAGGCAATGATGTAGTAGCGCAGTACCATTTGAAACCCCATTGGATAACACTTTCATATATCCGATATGGGACAATATGTAACTCAAAGGAAGGTATATGTACTAAAGTTATCATCATTCTGATCTTTTGATCTGTTAAGTTATCATCATCCTGATTTTTCTTTTGAAAGAAAATAACTGATTTCAGAAACTTACACTGATTGAATAATATATGAATAGGATATCACCAGAACACCCATTAAAGAACAGTAGGTGCACGGTTAAATCATTGTACATTCAACTATTCCTAATTCCAAAATTACTCTCCCTTTTGTAAACTCCTATATTAGAATCTCTTATGGTTTTCCCTCGAATTTAGTTAACAGAACAATTAAAGGTTGTTTTGTGAAATTTTCAGTCTAAAAAAAAAGGTTGTTTTGTGAAATTTGCACTTTGCAGGCAGCATTTGTCATGCCACCTATTGGAGTTTCTCCAAGACGAACAAATGGTAATTAATACACAGGCTTCCAAATTGATTCCTTTAATAGGTAAGCCTCCACCTTTTGACTTTTAGCTCAGTTATCTTTGTGGTGCAATGGTATATTGCAAGAAGATGCTTTACTGTGGCTTAAGTTTTTATGTAACTTGAATGATTGTTCTGCCCACCTTTCTGTTTTGGTTAGTTGAAACATAGGAAAAATGATGATGCATAAGTTTTGAGGGGAAATTCTTCTTTCATTTGTTCTAATATGAACCTCCTACTTCTGTTGTGTTTATTGGCCGACCAGGTCTCTCCTTTCCTCCTTTAAACTGGGAACTGCCATCTGTAAAGAAAGAACTTAGTCTGGCTTCTCGTTCTTCCCTTTGGCATCCAAAACAGCATTGCTGACTGAGCAATAACTTTTTTGTTTTCTGCTGCAGATCCTTCGTTTACTTTGCCTGCACTAGTTTGTCTTATATACTCTCCACTTGAAAGAGTACACTCGTTGGCAAGTGGTGCACTCGTTGCATTATTGAAGAATTACAAGCATAACCCTGATGTTATATGCATGCTGCTCGACTGTCTGAGGTACAATGAAATACTTTTGATCTTTAATGATGACAAAATTTCAAGTAAGCAGCAATGAAACAGAAGAGTAATTCTGTTCTCTTTATTGTAACTTCTAATTTGTTTGTGCAGCAAACCCACTCAGAACCCAGACATTTGTGATACTGCTTATGGTGAAGAAGGTATGATTTACTGATGCTGTGTACATATATTACAGTCGAAAGTTGTAGTTTCTGCCATAAGCTGCTCAGGAGATGATTGGGAGTGCACAGCTAGTGAAGTTCAATATAGTACACCAAACATCATGAAATTTGACATCAGATTTAAACCCCATGGGCCAATAGCGGTCATCTATAACCGTCATAGAAAGAGACAGGAGAAGAGTTAAATCTAATGAGGAACACAGTTAATTCGGAAAACAATTTTTCCCTGGTATCCTTCAACCTATAAGATAAACCCTACTGGTTTGGGACTGAGGCGTAGTAGTTGTTGTTTGTATCCTTCAACCTAAAAGATAGGTTATCTTCTCAACAGTTCTCTCTTTAAAGCAACTTCCTATAATGGATATTTGTAATTGTTAGAGTAACCTGAAGCTCTTGGTGGCAGGATTCTAAATGAGTGTGTTTAGCGGAAAGTTTCTATTCTGGAATATTTTATTTTGGGTGCTATTAGTTTTCCTGGTTGCTTGATATTTACGGTTTTCCCTACCTTCCTTCATGTCTTGGCAATTTACGTGATTTGTGTATTTTGAAAGAAAAGGTGCTTTTTCGGAGTTCCTTTTGCAGATGGTATTTCCTTTGCTCAAGGTTATACTCATATATAAAGTTTTAATGTGTAGTGGAGTTACATAGTGCTAGTTTGAGGCAGGGGCGGCTCAACGGATCTCGTGGCCCAAGGCGAAACCATACTGAGAGGCCCTTAAATTTATTTTGTAAAATATTTACACTAACAACAAAAATTGCTTTTTAAATAACAAATTGATCATTTAAGGCAGAAAAGCGAATTTCAAAAAAATCTTTAAAAAAAAGATGGAAGAAGAGCACAAAAAATAAAGTGGTGGACTATCGGATGTTGAGGTCCAGAACTCAAAGTGAAAATTTTGATTTGGCTATCATCACAAACAAGAAAAAGAACTAAGCGTATATAACGTAATAGCTTAAGTTTTGAGCATTGACGGTGTCAAAGATATTTAATTTACTCCTTCTGTTTAATTTAAACGATAATTGTAGTTCATTCTATTAAGTCGAACTTATTGGTGAATATCTAAAATAAATTGTAAATAACCTAATATAATATGTCGAATTACACTAAAAGAAAACCGGTGCATGAATGCTTTTGTGTTCATGCAGTTTCAGAGAATATTGTAAAAGAAATTCATTATGTTGTCGATTTAAAATTGAAGAGTGACGAAAATTAGCATAGTTTATAAATTTATTGTATAAAATAACCTCAATCAAGTAACAAAAAAATATACTGTAACACTTTTCTTTATACTAATTATTTATATAAAAAATTATATAGTATGTATTAATAATAATAATAAGAATTTAAAATAAATTTGGGGCCTTCAAATTTTGGGGGCCTAAGGCAACAGCCTCACTGTCCAAAGCCTTAGAGTCGCCCCTGGTTTGAGGTAATGGTTTGACTAGAAAGAAACTAAAGAATTTTTGAGTGACAATATTGCTTGCATGGGAAGGGTGATATCTCGCGTATTTTTCTGTCCAATGATTGTGGTTGCGTGCATCACTTTTACACGTAGAGTGCTCTTGTCCTCTATGTGGCAATCCTCTCCATCAATTGTATTCTTCTTATTTTGTTGTGTCTTTGTTTTTTTTTTTCTCGTCAGTATATAACTACTTCTAGAAAGCAGCTTGATTCTTCTTTTCTTCTCTTTCAGGACAAAAACCTGATATTGATAGAGTGCTGAAGCTGCTTCCTGAGTGGTCAAAAATAGTAAGTTAGAGTTTCTTCCAATTTGCTTAACGGGCTCACCTCATGTCTTTTTATTTATCTGTGACTCTAACTCTATCTGCGGTCATGAGTGAATTACTATTCTGCTCCCAGGCAAATGCTTCCTTTCTTATAGGTCCTGATTCTTTTGACTGTTCTTATTCAGTTCCCAATATAATATAATATAATTCTGTTTTGTCATTTCTCTAATTTATCAGTTTTCATTCTCGTTCTTTTTCAAGGATTTTTGGGTGGGCAAGTACTTATTGAATCCTCGATAAAGTGATTTAGAAATGTGAACTGCAGCTTCCAGAAGGCCTATTACCTTGGGCTAACTTCTTCGAATTTGCTTTTGTTGCTTTGATAATTTATCAGTTCTTGGTTGATGTAATATTATCTCCCACTTGAAACCTGTCATATGTTGTCATCAGTACTCTTTTGCACATAGAACCAGATTTGATCTTTGCTAGCTGTTTCTTTTTTTCCTTGTACTCTCTTTGTCCAGTGTGCATAAGGCTAAAATTTACGGCAAGGCATTAACTAGGATGGATGTATGGCTAGGCAGAGTCTTTTCATTAGGCTTATTTTGTTATTCAATGAACAGATGCACTACTTGCAGAGGACATTGCATTTCTTCACATCTCACTTGGACATACCTAATTTGAGCCTATTGTAGGTTGAAGATTGGAAGGTGATGATTGGACCCTTGATAGATAAGCTTTTTGCTGAGCCATCAAATGCAGTAATAGTCAGGTTCTTGAGTTTCATAAGCGAGCACTTGGCAAGTGCAGCAGATTTTGTCTTTCAACAGATTATTTCTTACACAAGAAGGCAGAAGGAGTGAGTTGTTCCTCTTCTCTTTCCTACTCCTATATTAGGAAGTAACTACCTGTTATAGCATTTCTTTGGTCCCGGTGGCTTCTTTTGTTAGTGTTACAATATCAAGAGAATATTTAATTAGACTCATACATGTCTAGATTCATTGTACTTAAATGAGAAAAATATCTTATTGAATATTATCAGTGTTGTCAAAGGCTCATTTACGCCGCTTAAGCCCTGAAGCTCAGAAAAGCTCAAGGAGGGCGCTTCGCCTCACTTAAGTTGCGCTTCGGTGTAGGCAAGGCACTAAGGCGCGTAACTCAATGCCCATGAGTTCTATCTTAAACTGGACAGTACTAAGCAACAAATATTATTAGCAAATAAGTGTATTAGTTGCTGAGGAAAACATTGAGTGAATTTGTTTCTTTTTTCTTTAAATACGTATGTATTTTTTTTTTTCTTTCCTTAGTTAACCTTTTTTTTAATCAAGCCCGCACTTTATTTTGCGCTTTGAGCATAAAGCCCCAATCGACCTGGAGCGCCTTTTAGAGCTTTTCACTTTTGACAACATATAGGATATCTTAGGATATTCTGTATTTAGTGATAGGCTATTTACTTATCTTATTGATATAGAGATGGTATTTTGCCTATTGTGAGAAGGCACGGGAGAAAATATGTTATTGATATTGGATGATAAATACAATACAAGGGGTCCCTATTTATAGCTAAACACTACAAGGAGATATTACTCCTCTTCCAATGTGGGACAAGACTACACTATACATATCTGTAAACTAACACTCCCCCTCAAGCCGGTGCATACACATCATATGTACCGAGCTTGTTACACATGTAACTAATACGAGAACCAGAAAAAGACTTAGTGAAAATATCTGCTAGTTGATCATTCAACTTTACAAACTTTGTAACAATATCTCCTGAAAGTATTTTTTTTCTGACAAAGTGACAGTCGATCTCAATGTGTTTAGTCCTCTCATGAAATACCGGATTTGACGCAATATGAAGAGCAGCTTGGTTATCACACACTAGTTCCATCTTGCTGATTTCTCCGAACTTTTAATTCCTTGAGCAACTGCTTGACCCAAACTAACTCACACGTCGCCATAGCCATGGCCCGATATTCGGTTTCGGCGCTAGATCGAGCAACTACATTCTGTTTCTTGCTCTTCCACGAGACCAAATTACCTCCTACTAGAACACAATATCCAGACGTAGAACGTCTATCAAAAGGTGATCCTGCCCAATCAACATCTGTGTCCCCAACAATCTGCTCGTGGCCTCGATCCTCGAATAGTAATCCTTTGCCTGGAGCTGACTTTATATACCGAAGAATGAGAACAACTGCATCCCAGTGACTATCACAGGGAGAATCCATAAACTGACTTACAACACTCACCGGAAAAGAAATGT